AAATTATGGACATGAGATTATTTCTCTAAAGTGCTTTATTTAGCACATACATATCATTTTTCATCACCAAGAATGATGGTCTTAAAACAGGCCATCTATTATTCTCCATGGACTATGCTGGATTTATGTGGGAAAACACAAACTGCCAGTTTCCTCAGTTTCTGTCATTTTGTGATTGAAAACACTTGTGTCTCTTCATTTCATGGCATTAGTACAGCTCAAGACTCTTCTGCTTCATATGAAAAAAGTTAAATGTCATCTCAGTTACAAGATGCAAAGCAGTGAAAGAAACCAAGCTCATTTTATTTAAATATGGATTTACTTAAAGAACAGATTAACTCTGATGCAAACCAGCAGTTTGGAAGTGCTATGTGCTTTCCATTCACACAGATCACAGCAGATAAGTTCAAGACAGTCATAATTATTGGACTAATTAATGTTATATATGTCTAGAAGAGGCCGCAATGGTTGCAGAGAGGACTACCATACACTTCCTGAACATACCTTATATCCAGAGCAGGTACAAACCATGGTGGACCTGCATTTCTAGTGGTATGAGCCACATTGGAAGGGTTCAGTGACAGGTTGGATGGAACTTTGGGCAACCTAATGTAGTGAAAAATGTCCCTCTCTGTGGCTGGAGGATTAAACCTCCTCTCCAAACCAAATCATTTTGTGACTCTGGATCTGACACTGGACAACTGGGAGCAGCAGGTCTCCTTTGTAACTCTTCTGATATACATAAAATTGTCAGACAATGTATTTGTGTCTCAGTGTTGGATATGTGCTCGTGGCAGCAGCAAAGCATTGGAGGAATTATTGCTTGAAATCCTTTCCTAAGACTGGCTGGAATATTCCTGCAGGGGTAGCCTGATGCATTCATTATACAGCACTGTCTGTCCTCTGTGCTGGTCATGCTCACTCACTTCCAGAAAGGAAAGGTGAGCAAGCAGAATGAAACGTGCTATAAAGAAACACACAGTAAGGAATTAAAAAAGGCATAGACTGATATTAACATTTTTAGAACAGGCATCCAGCTTTGAAAATGTAGGAAAAGATGGTACAGATAAAGCTGTAAAGGGAAGAAAGATAAGCAGGAATTTCCCTATAGTTGCTTAGAACCAAATATGTGTTACAAATCCAAATATAAAAATAACATGCCAAAATCTTTGCTCTCAGGCATTTGCCACACCAAATCAAATATATTTTCAGGGATTGAAACATATCTGTTGTTTCTGACTTACCTCGTTAGTTTGGTTTTTTATGAGGAATCAGTTTTTCAAGGGAATTTTGCTTAAAAAAGAACTTTGGAACAGCTCTTTGAATAACATGAGAAATACAGAAACTTATTTCTATAATTCAAGTTAAAAAAACTGGAAAAACAAGTTGTTTTCTTATTTGCTTTGGTTGAAGTTTTTAATAAAATATTGATAAAGCTGTGCCTTAATACTGAAGTCTGTATAAGAGATGCAAATTCCTTACTAAGACACACATGTGTCCTTTTTTTTTTTTCATTTCAAGTAGATTTACAAAGACAACAGAGTTGGACAGTAATTTGTTCCTAAGAAACCTCCTCAGAAGTAAAAAGGTTTTGCCATCAGGCTCCGCATTTTACAGAAATACTACCTTAAAGCATAAGATAATCCTTAACTAGAATCAAATAAAACACCAACTTTTCTTCTAAAACACTGCAAACCCCAAGGAAGGTTTTTCTTTCCAGTCTTTTCTCCCATCTTTTCCACCCTGAAGCATCTTTGTGACCCAGTGTTTTTGCTGTCAATACTTAGGCAGTGTGCACATTATTTCATTTTAAATACTCCTGAAGTGCAGTTAGGCATGCAAAAGGAAATTTAAATCTGCCTAAAAATGTAAAGTGTGTGAAAGATTTTCATAAAGATAATTAAATTATTTATTTGCATAATAAGGTATTTTTTTGCATTTAATAAAGATGAAAGTCACACTGAGATGGATTCTTGCAAATTTACATAAAGAATTCAATGTTTCTGGTAATGCACTGACAAACTTTGAACATCCTTTTTCTCTGATGATACCTCTCATCTATTTGTGTCCTTTTTTAACACCCAGAATATGGTGTTTTGAAAGAGATAGCTAAGAGCAATGGGCTGGGTAGCAGTGTTTTCCTTCAAAAATAAATCCACATCTTAAGCACAGCCATAAGGGAAATAGACCTACACTCTCAAATTAGACTAGAATAGTTTCTTGAAGAGTTTTAACCATAAAACGCTTTACGTTAAGGAGAAGAAAAGAAAGGCAGCTGGAAGATGTTAACTTAACTTGGTTTCTACTTGAAACAATGGTGTGTTTTATTTCATGTTGGGATTTCAACAGACCCTTAATTAGACTTTTGACCACACAGTTTTCAATTTAAAATGTCTTGATTACATTCTGATCATCAAGAAGTTCCTGGGAGACTTGTCACCTGTTACTCTTTGAAAAAATATTCATCCAGAAATGTAGGCAGGCAAATAATATTCCCCATCTCATAGAATAAATATTAAGTTTAAATATCCAGAGTATTTCAAATAATAATGTAAATACTGGAAAATACTTTGTGAAATTTTGACTTAGTGAGAATAAGCAGACAGCAATGCTCAAAACAAAATGGCAAAACCACACAGGTTGCCTGCTGTGAGGTGAAATACTAATAGAATATTCATACTGTGAGTGTATAGCTGGTAAAATCACTACTATGGCATTTCCTAAGGACATGAAAAATTATACCTACCTATGTTATGAAAAACAGCTTAGTTATTGAAAACATCATTTGAAACACAATTTTTCTATGTAGTAAAAAAGTCAGTGTACAAGACCAGATATTATCATTCAGATTGAAACACACATTCAGAATATATTAGTTCATTTTTCAAAACATTGAATGAGGAATTCGCATAAACAGCTGTGCTATGATTTATCTTGATGTAACTTGTAAGTGTTAAAAAAATACTAAATAGATGGTATTCAAATCTGGAGTGAATTAAAGAAAAAATTCCATGTTATTCTGAAGATGGCACCTTTAAACTGAACTTCAGAGGAGGGAAGGGGAGGGCAGGGAAGGGGAGGAGTTGGGCAGGACTCAGCAATCATCTGGTCCTCTTCAGGGCTGACCAAAAGTGAAAGCATGTTACTATTAAACCAGGATGCTCAAATACTTTTGAAACAATCAGTTATGGGACACTGATCACCTGTCAAGGAAACCTGCTCTTGGTAAAGCATTTTTTTCTAATATCATGTCTGAACCTCCCCTGATGCAGCTTTGAACCTTTCACATGTGTCCTGTCACTGAATAACAGGAAAAAGAGACCAGCAATTTCTTCTCTTCCCCTTCTCATCCTGATAAAAAATAACTGAGTTTGATTCTTAGGCTTTCTTGACAGAAAAAAATATTTTTATTGCTGATTTTTAAATAAAAATAAAAAATTATAAATATATGAAACAATAACATCAGCACCAAATCTTGAGATGCATGGGAAAATTAGAAACAGAAACAGTTTTCTTGTTTTGAAGTAACATACTCACCTGACTTTTGGATGAAAAATAGTCCCCAACTTTTCTCTCTCTTATTAAGAGATAAATGTTTTCTATGTTTTGTATACATAGAAATACACATATCAGCTGCAATCTGGTCCAAGTTACCTCCATATTTGATGTCAAGTAGGTCCATAAAGGCACATTTTGGGATTTTTCTATGGATCTAAACTGATTGCCCCAGTGGTTTTCTGTCAAATTTTGGCTGAAGTTTACTGTCCCCAGAGTGGAATTCTCTTATGAACACTCTTAGGCCATTTCAGTACAAAGTCAGGGAAGTCAGCTTAAAGCATCTTAATCCAAATTTGGATGACTACCCTTTTGTGAACAACTTACACAGACAATTTTAGCTTTACAGCTGTGTCAACAGAAACTGCAAGAATAACTTCTCAAATTCAATAACTAGATGTAAGAGAAATTAACTGTATATGCCTTTAGTCCCTCTTGGAATGAGAAAAATTAAAAAGAATGTTAGATTGTGGCAGCATGGCTACTAGCTTAGCCTCAGGACGAATCAATGTCTGTTAGTGGGAATTCAGATTAGACTAATCAGAAACCAAACTCCCAAATCTGTAAGAATTGTGTATTATTTTTCTCACCACACATAAAAAATAGGCCTTTTTGAGTCAAAATTCAGGCAAAGTTCACATGTTCTTTGTGGCATAGACTATTGTAGATATACTGTGGAAAAATATCTGTCACAGAAAATACAACCTGCCTCCCAAACAGATTCAGCCCCTGGGAGAGAGCTGGTCTCTGTTGCACATCCTATCTGAAATGTTACACTCTTACCTAGAGCTGCTCTCTGTATCTGCCTCTGGATTACCTTTCCTTTCAGATGGTCTGTAAAAGACACAAAATGCAAATAATTAGAATTCAAAATGTCAAAAATCAATGACGTCATTGCATATTTCCCACCATTTAAAACTCCCTGCACTGCTGGCCACTTTAGAAGTTTTTTTGTGATCCATGGGACAAGTTGATTTCTGAGTTCTGTCCTTCTTTCTACTGCAAGTAAACAAGTGGGCACAGTGTGACTCTACATATACTGAGATTTAATTTTCCAGTAAGAAAGACTGAAAATTTAGCATTTACTGTCAAGCACTTTCACAGGATAATGATCTCCTACTGCTAGATACAAAAGAAGTCCAAATGGGACCAGAAGACATATGGAATTCCAAGTGTTTTTCAAACAGACTTAGAGGCACTTAAAAGATAGTAGGTCACTAGTCCACCCATTTGCCAGTGAAAAAATAATTCCCCAAAATCCATTTTTTCTTGTCTGTCCTGCTCAGTTTTAGATATCCCCTGTACTAGAGCCTCTGCAAGTTCTACTGTCCTAGTTCTGGGCAGGGTTAATTTTTTCAGTAGCTGGGAGGGGAGCATGGGGTTTTTCTGTACTACCTCACATCATTGCTGGGGGCAGGGGAAAGGGACACCCTTCTCAGGAGAAGGGTCAAGTAAACATGGCAGAGGGAGCCATCATATATTGTCTAATATCAAGGAGATTTTCTGTGTGAATTGTTTCTTTTCCTGTAGCCTCTGTCATTAGCATTGTTGCTGTTACTGTTCATTTTCTTGTCTCATTGCTGTTTCCAGTAAATTTTTTTTATGTCAGCCTGTGATCTTTGCCTTTCTTACCTCAAATAATTCTCTCCATCCCACCACAGCTCAGAAGGTTGGGGGAGAATGGGGCAGTGAGGGACAGCACTGTGTGGTTTGGAGAGTCTTGGTGGGGGCACTGAGTTGGGCAGTAAAATTCTTAAATCATGGCAACTACTCAACAGGACTCACTGTGTAGATGGCACTGGTTTTCAATCAAAAATTAACCAATCCCATTATATCAACATTCCTAGTTAGACTCCCATGCCTCATGCAACTAATTTTTGTCCTTCTTTTATCCATTTCCTACCTGATCTATGACAATGGGCCAGTTCCCAATTATTCCAAACAGTAATTAAATTACCATGAGGGAAGCCATTATTCAAATACATTAATGGAACAAATAAAGGAAAAACATATCCTTAAATATAGAATTTCAGCAGTAAATGTATTCTGAAGAGGGATGGGATTATGTCTCTCAAGTTTTCAAATTAAAACAATTTCTAAGCAGAGATTTGTTCATAATATTTACTAAGATGTAAATCTGGATATCAGGGAAAGAAAAAAAATCCATGCTGGATTCACTTTTTCCCCCCCAGACCTGTGATTTCCTATATCATATTAGTGTGCATTGTGAATTAAAAATATAATTTTGCTTACAAATGAAATCTTGCAGAGTATGCTAATCAGAGGGAAATTAAGTAATTAGAAGTTGGCAAATATGTAACCAGAGAATATAAAAAGCCATTTACATTCACAGGTCATGAGAATTAGATAGTTCTGTGAACACAAAAGAACCATAACACATTGAATTTCCTTGGAAATGATGAGAATAGTTGTTAAATATTTAGTAGCATTGTAGGAAATGTATTATTTGAAATACATTGCAGTATAACAGTCAAGTTTTGTTGTTTTGAATGTTCATAGAAAACAAACAAAAGAAAACACTCTACCAACCCTTTGACTATAAAATAGACTTAGAGTTGTATTCTTCTGCAGAAGAAGTTTTAATATTTCAAATTATTTTTAATTAAACCATTGACTTTTTCCAAAATTAAAGTTACCTGTAAAATTGGGAAAATGTAATATGTAAAATAAGGAAAAGCCTTCAGCTACTGAGAAACAAGTTAAGTGAAGTAGCTGACTTCATCTAACACTGTGATAAAAACAGATAAATCCTTCCTTTCAGCTGTACCAACACTTGACCAAAAAAACCACATTCCATTAAATAAGTTGATTCCTGTAACTATAGAAATCAAATGTCTTGATTATTAATTTTTACTGATAAAAACCAGGTTGAATGATCAATATTCTTTTTGAAAGCTCTATAAAGCTACTCAGTTGATTTCAATACTCAATGACATGTGATTAAACATGCTACTTTTTCCTCAAATTGCTTTTTGCTATTCTGACTATATAGATCCTTGTCTGCTATGGCACTGTTTCAAACAATGTGGTGTTACTCACTCAATATTGAGCCATGAGACACCCGTGAAATGATTTGTAGGAACCTTGAAACTTATTTCAATAGATTACCATTAATCAATAGATTACCATTAATTACCTCATAACAGAGGTACCTCAGAAACAGTCTATACATTTATCTTTGTGTAAGGGATCAGAAACTCTCTTAAGCACTGTGAGCTGCAAAAGCCAACAGCCACTGTCATGTGAAAAAAATGGTTCCAGTAGGGACAACAGGGTTTTCATCAAGAGCCATCTGAAAATAAGGGTGACATATAGTTCTCAATTTTTTCAATAAATGTCCTTCTGTAATGCTGCTAGAAACAGATCATCAGCAATCTAAATGTTTCGCATTTCAAGTGGCAACAAGGCCAATGGAAAAAAGCAGGCCAAACAAGTCAATGAGAGTCAGATCAAGCAGACAGACAAGAGCTTGCCATCAGTATGAAAATGTGGAAACACAAGAACATTGAGACTGGGTTTTAAATTATCATGGCCAAGAGGCTTGTCTTTCAATTACACAGAGTTTTCTCTGAGCACAACTGGGATAGACATCAGAGAGGCTGCAGAAGCTCTATTTGTATTGTGAGCTTTGTCAGACCATCCAGCGGTGTGAAATGATCCCAAATGTTCTTCTCTCCCTTCACTGGCCTTTGTACACTTCTGCTCCATCCATGGACCATGGACATGGACTATGATATTACAAGAAATCTTCTATTTGGCAGCTTTGTGAAGGAATGAGAAGTTTGATCAGACCACCTGTAATCGGAGAGGAAACCAAAGAAAACTTCTCCACCAACTAGAAAAATAAAACTTCAGCCTTCCTATTCTTCTAGCAAAAGAGTTTTCTTTTTCTTCTTTAAATAGAAATAGAAAGATGACATTTATCCAATTCACAGAGTTCAAACTGCCTTTTCAGGGCAGGAAAAACTGTATTTCATTTCCCAGAAAACATCCTGTGGATAAACTGAAATTGTATTATTGGAAAAGTAGACCAAACATGAGTTCAGATTTGGGGGACAAGGTAGTATCATGAGGCACCTGACTATAATTCCATACTAGTACTTACCCAGACAGATATGATTTAATCATTCTATTTGTCTTAATCCAATTTGAAATTTGACAGTTTGTTTAGATTTCATTTGGGGAAAAAATGTTTTCACTTAGAAGCTTTTATTTTTGACAAACTTAAGATTTTCTGTATATGTTTTTGATTAAAGTAATGTTGTTTTGTTTTCACTATAAATACTTGTAGGGGAGAATGAATGTTTATGACCTGCTCTACTTTCTGCCTCTGAGAACACCATTTCCCCAGTGCTAGGCTAGAAGTTCATAAGGGATAGAAGCAGGGGATGATTCCAGTACTGTTGCCTGCACAAATCTTCCCATATAAACAAAAGGAAGATTTCAGTCTTAAGTATTGCCAGTTCTACAATCTTTATAAGCACAAATATATACCCAAGGAAATATTAAGAATCACATTCTCATAAAAAACCATACCATGTCCTCTGATTCTAAGTGAAAAGTTGTGGAAGAGGTAGTGCTTAAATGTGGCTTGCAAAAATTGAATTTAAGATGTGGATAACATCTCTCAACATATGGCTAATGATATTTTCTGAAGTTTCACCAAACAAGAAGCTAAAAATAGGTCTACAGCTGATACCAAATAATTTTTTCCAGCAGAGTCATTCTTCATCTGGAGATAACAGTCCCAATAAAATGTTGACTGCTGTAACTCCACATGTTTTGGCAAGAAAAGTAGTTTTGTGGAATTTAAGAATTCACTCAGCATGCAGCCAGCTGTCATTAAGGCTGTGATAAATCTGTTGGTTTTGGCCTGCATTTCTGGAGACATGTAGGTATGGAAAAGAGGTGAGCTGGTAACACAGAACTTCAGTTTTGTGACAGGAGAAAAAAGCAAGGAGGGTGATGGAGAGGACAAAATGGAGTAGAGAAATCTAATTAAGAGTGATGTAAAGCAGAGGAGAGGATCCCTTTTGGAGGCTAAATAGGGCAGAATACATAAATTGAATAATATGGATGTCCTTTAACTTCTTGTCTTTGCATTGTTCCAGACTGTCTCAAGGATCTGAATTTATCTTCCAATAATTTCAGACAAGGAATGCTTTAACCTGAAGAATATGCTTTGGGACAATGCAAAAGTGAATATGTTACAAGTAAAAACCCCCACTGATTTAAAAAATATTTTTTTTGTTTTGTTTGGGTTCATGTTACAGGTTTTAAAACTTCTCTTATGTTTTATTAGATCCTCTGTAAATATATAAGCTTATAAGACCTTATATATTTATAAGGTTTATAAGAATTGATAACTATTATAAGGTTTCAAAGACCACTAACTCAAGAAATGACAGGCTAAAGCCTTTGTCAATGACTTCTCATTTCTTGTTAATTTTTAGCGCTTTTCTATTATTTTACATTTTTCAAGCCTGCATTTATCTTAATGCATCCTTTCATCATGGAGATCCTGAAACCTTTACACATCAAATAGGATGCTGCAGGTTTCATTTTCATTATTGTTAAATCATTTTTGGTCTTACATAAAATATCTAGCAGAACATCCTCCTATTCATCCAGGGCATCTGATTCCTGGAATTCACCCTCCAGGGCTCTTGGGGCCCTAATCACACTATATGGTATTAGATGTTGCTTTTTTTTATTCCTGTTTCTCACATTGCCACACCATTCCATAACCTGGAGGTGCACAAGAAGCTGCGATGGAACACAGCTGTGACAGCTGACCCCAATTGACCAAAGGG